AAACAGCCGCAAAAAGCAAGGACGGCCACCGCATTCTTTACGTATATTTGTGCAGAGTCGCATGGTATATAAATACATAAGAGACCCTCGCAGAGACTAAGCCAAATGCGCACCGTCGTGCACTAAACGGACGAAGGAGTCAGCAGTCGTCTCGTACAGTAATAACTCAAAAAAGAAACGTCCCCACTTAAATAGCGCCTCACACCCGTAAAGAAACGCGGGGCCAATGAAACAAAACAAAAAACATGCACACAAAGCCTAAAAAAGCAAGCACAGAAAGAAAAAAAACACGGGCGAACATTCACAGGATCCACCACATGTATTGAGGGGCCCGTGACGTCCGCGTCCCCTCAGCGAGGGCATGCGCACACACGAAGAGGTGCAGCGCCCAAAACAGCAAGCACAGAAAGCAAGAAAATTAAATTAAATTACTTTCAAATCCCAATGGAACTCAGCACGCCTCTTACACACGGCATTGCCGGGGCGATGCCGCCTAACACACGAAGAGGCAACTATAAAAAGCAAAAAAAAATGTATTTAAAAGAGAGATCTTCCTGCGGCACGCAAAAGATTGATCGGAGTGACGTAAGACCAAAGTTCATCGTGAAAGCAAATTATATTAGTTTGGCCCTCGTCCTCCCTTGGCGCACACCGTTTCACACGAGCGCAGACACAAATGTCAGCAGCAGCAGCAGCAGCAGCGACAGCGGTGTACGCGCCCACGCAGTGATGACGTCGCTGCCGTCCGCCTCACCGGCAATGCGCCTATGTGTACTGCTGTGCGTGGTGTTAGAGGGAGCAGCGGCGGGAATCAACTTTTTCTCCGCGTCCACACCACCGCCTGCCACGCCCGGCGGCCGCGGTGTCTCGGGTGCTTGTGGCAGTCCAGGCGAGTCACCACCAGCGGAGTCTTCAATGGGCGGAGTTTCAACGCCAGGGGTCGCAGCTTCTGCGCCTGAAGGCAAAGTGGGCGTTGCTTCTCTGGGTCGTGCGACCTCACCCTTTGACGGGACCTGTGGACCGCTTTGGCTCTTCACGACTTGCCCCTCTTCTTCTGAAGGTGCATCCGCATCTCCACCTCCTGTTGCCGCCTCACCGGCTCTCGTTCCTTCACTCCCACCATTGTGCTCCGTCCCAGCCTCGTTGTCACCTGACGCCTTTGATTGCAGGGCATTATTCCCTCGTTCTGTTGCACCACTGCCGCTCTGCGTTGTCATTGTTGACGGGGAAGCGGGGCTCTCAGCATTTTTTTGACCCGGCACAACCGACTGCGATGAACCTTCAGAAAGAGTAGGTGAAACTGCAACAGAAGACCGCGTGTCTTTCCCCACGTTTTTCTGCCACCACTTCTCCATCGTTGTTGGATCAATAAAACTGATGTTGATGGTGAAAACTGCGTCACTTTCAAAACCTTTGCCCTGACAGTTTCCGTCGCCCATTTTGCAAATCATGGCATTTAAACCGGAAGATGATTCAGAGCAGTTATACCACAAATCTTTCCCAATGGGTCGCCACCGGCTTACATTTACATCTGCACACGCCGCTTCAACCTGCACCACCTCCTCCTTCTCCGCCGCACTCGCACCCAACAAACTACAGCACAGCGCAAGTGCCAACAGGACGCACGCCACACCGCACCTCATCGTCGTCATTGTGAGTAGAGTCGCTTAGCGGTGCAAAGCTGATCTACGAGGCGGTGGAGGAGAGAC